TGGTTGGATTCACTTGAAGTTACAACGGATTCACTTGAAGTTGAAAAGGTATAGTTCTTCCCAAATAATCCCAGATGCCTACTGTTTACGCCACCCATCAAATATCAATCAGTGTTTTACAAGCAAGGCCAAACAATCAGAAGTTATAGGATTTTTAAAGCCAAAATCCCCTTTCCGCTTCGCCGCGTTCAATGCCGGCACACTCTATGCGATCGGTCAACAAGCTGCCCTCGCGAGAACCCTTGAAACCTTCCATTTAGATGTATGCTGTGTCTCCGAAACACGCATACAAGACCCTACTGCCATTAACTTTCGCCATTCTTCTGATCCAACCTCAAGCTCACGCTTCACCCTCCGTGTATCAGGTGATTCGGCATCCGAAGCTCGCGGTGTTGCTGGTGTTGGGATTGCGCTAAGTGCTAAGGCGGAGCGCTCGTTTCTTGACTGGATTTCAGTCAGTAGCCGACTGTGCGCTGTACGTCTCAACGATTCAGCACGGATCAACAGCTACAGAATGAAGCGTCGATGCTTGTTCGTCGTATCGCACGGACCGATTGCAGTATACCTGAAACCAAGGATGAGTTCTACTGAACTGAACTGAATCTAGCAAAATTTAGTGACCCAGATAGAAGGAGGGAGATAAAACTGATTGGTATACAGAAGAGCAACAAAATAAGCGCGAAAAATTGTTCCCTTAGTAAACTTACTCGAAACTAATCTGTCTGGATCGAGATCAATCACCTCGTTCACACAGGTGTAACCTGCACGGGCTAAACCTTGCAACACGGTTGCCGATAGCGGTAGCGAGACTAGTTCGCGGAAGCCAGGATCCGCAAGCATAGAGCTGCAAAGACACGGCACATTGTTGACAAAAACTGGAAGAACCAGCTAACAGACTCGGAACATGTGTGAACGCATAGAAAAGTTTGAAATGGATAAAAAGCACTTTCGAATAGCCGAAATGATCAGGAAACACGCCGACTATCACAGACAGAGCAACGACTGCGTACGTCGAGGGACGTTCTCACGAAGAGCAAACGAGGAGGAGGAGAACATATGTTCCATAAACCAAGCAAAATTTCGGTTGAACACAACAAACGATGCAAGCTGGAAGAGAATGCACGGTAATCTTACGATGCGAAATGTTAGAATCATAGACAAACACGATTGGTACAGTTAAATCTCAAATTTTTCTTACGACGCAAAATGAGCCGGATATAATCTTTGAATTCACAATGACGGTAGAGGCTATAACTTGGGCGTATGCAGTTGTGCACTCGTGCTTATTGATAAGATGAAGATGAAATGCTTTATTAGTCGTGTAACTGAAGCGTGAGCCGAAAAGCTAGGAAGCAGAGGAGAGCTGTTTCGACCTGGTTGGGTCTCATCATTAGTGCTAATTTTATCGACCTAATTGGGGATCGAACCCGAGACCCCACAGGTAGAACGTAACCACACTACCCACCCAGCCACCGGGCAGCTGATCGGACCGTTTCTCATACTTGAGATCGCGTTGTTTCATTACACACCATGACACGAAACCCGGCGGCTGTATGGCTATGAGCAACGTTGACCCAAAACCTGGAAACTGGAGTAGAGGAACATGCAAGGATCCCAAAGGACAGGTATGGTATTGACCCAAGCAACACCAAAGCCAAATGACCCAAAGGATGGACGGTCCTGGCGGAGTTCGAACCGTGAAACTGAGTGTCTGGGGTATAGCAGTGATAGACAATGAACACAACTGGCCATCAGCTACTGCTACTTTGTCCCTCTGCCTCACCCCCACCTCCTCCCAATACTACAAGGCGATTACATTACATCGTTTGACCCATTTTGTGCACTAAATATGGAGGGTTATAACCCGCGGAAGAAAGATGGTTCGTATCCCTGTAAAGTAACCTCTTTCTCCTTGATTTTCAAAGGGTAAAACTTCCGAAACCGAAGTGGGTACCACTGTTGTGACGTACTACTCACACTTGTGAGTAGCTTGCACGCACTAAAAAGCGGTTATTGGATTCCCACAGAATTCACGAGTAGATTAAAGGATTTAATTTTGTAATTCAAGATGGAAAAAACCACATTGCTATCGATCACCGATGAAGAGAGACGATCACGAAAATACCAACCAATTGATGCAAACTAGATGTTTTGTGCAACCTACCCCTACCCCATGCTGTTTTTCTACTATATAACTCTCGTCATCCTTGGAACTGTCTTGTGGATATATAGCACTACAGTAGTAGTATATGATCATGATCCTCACTAAGCCGAAAATAGCTGCAAGTCAAACGGACCTTTACGAATTCCAGACATACTCTTTGGGTTAGCTAATCTTTCAAAACCTTACTTTTTTCATTTTCATTTTTACTTCCTTTTTATTGAATATACAAAGATACAATTTTCAGGAAAGAGGAAGCGGCCAATCAAAGGGCTGTCATACAACACAGAAATGAGGAAAGACAGGCGGTGGTGACGGGATTTGAATACACCTCCTTTGAGGTGATAATTGGTGACGTTGCCACCGGACCACCACCGCCGAATTTACCCGATGCAGCTGTAAATGGACGTAAACTGAAACCGCATAGGAATAATCCCATGGAAACTTATACTACAACAGAAGATGAGAGATCACGGATTAGATCGGAAAGATATGTATCACTCACCAGTGGATGGAAAGATTTAGGAAATTTCAGTGATGAGAAAAGCATTCGAAGTTACCCCGAGAAAATAGCCATCATTCCTCAATCAATGGATATCACACGGTTCCTGTGCCTTTCTGTTTACTAGTGCCATTTTTCGGGACTATGCCCGAATCTCATTGCTACTGAAGAGATTGGCGAAGCACAGACAAGAGTTACAGTGAAGCAACATGTACCATAAAGTAATTGACCGGTTCAAAAATAATTATACTGAAATGCTTATCTTCGACTTTCTCGGTCAGACACTGTCCACCAGAACCTTCATTTCGGACACAGAAACCAACGACGCTGAGATTGGCAATATTTTATCAGGACAAAATAAAGGTGGATGGTTGAAAGCCATCGCCTACACAGGTCGTTGACTGAGTAAACCACAAGGAAATGACCGAGCTTCACCGCAGATGTACTGATACCCCAAGTCAAACACACCGATCCATATAAAAAGTCTACAGTAAAGAAAAACGACGCATTCCTATTGTAAACGTCTAAGGAGTCGGATCATGTTCAGCACTCACACGAACAATTACATGTAATTTATTCCAAATGCACATATGGGTCGGGTTGACGACATGCGAACGCCAATACATCATCATAACTGCTTACATCGAGGTACGTGTCGGTAGAAAATTCTCTGGCTNGTTAGAACACGCATTGTGCATGAATAACAGTTGTCTACCACGCCACACCTAATTTGCTGTTGCAGCTCCGGGTTGGAGCTATATGACAGTGAACGGCATTCTTATTGCCAAAATGTTTGAAAATGTATTACCGTTGGACTGTACATGTGAGTGGGCCATAGAGCTTTACCTTTCTTTTCCGCACTTCACAACAGGTTTAGTAGCCATCTTTTAATTATTCACCTTTTTTGAGATGAGCAGCAAATCCCATGGTCACGAGGACCTGCTAGTCAGTCGCGGAACTCGGTGATCTAAATCCCACGACTCAGGGTTACGAATCACATAACACCGGGCTAGTTTAGGTGATATTGAGCTGGGTTACAACGAAGCTATCTACCGCCAACGTTGGGTGACGGTGTTGTGGTTCGAACCTAGGACCCCAGGGTTCAAAGCACACCAAAGGGAGCAACTTAAACCACTTCGCTACGCCTTCGTACATTGGGTATTTAACAGCGCGTACTGAAGTTCACTTCACTGCGTTTTGCTCTACGATGATTATGGCTACTCCGAAAATGAGTCGAGTGTGCACGTAGCCGCTTTGATTGGTATGAAGTGATTCACCCTATGCCCTATAAAGCAAATTTGTAGAACACTGTAACAGGGTGAGACGTAATCTTTGAAGGACGAAATGATGATGACTAGTCAGGTCCAGTCACCATCGGCTACGAGTGGTCGATGGGTCCCAGAACCAAATTCAATAGGGTTTGCAAAAGAGTTATATAGACCATTCGGTCAGTCTGATCAACATTTACTGAATAACCCAGTATATAGATGATTTGGACGCATAAAAAAGCATCGTGAATTTCTGCAATCGCTTTCAGGAATGCATCACAGCAAAACTACCAAAGTTCAATGATCGGGTATCAATCCAACCGACGTAACCGGGTTATACAAACTGAATGTTAGTAATGCATATAACCGGGACTGTTACGAAAGGCCGCAACGATCAGGGGCCTCATTCCACCCCGGTTAAAAAGTGTTGCGTTCCGGCCATGCCTGCCTATTTTGAAACTTTACAATTGGGAGCCTCTCACTGATCACAAAACCTCTCCCGATTACTAATGATACACTTTATGTTCGTGAAAATCCAAGCGTCGAGGAAACGAGGAGCCACTCAGTCACGGACTTTACGAAATAATGAGAACCAGAATTTCTATCGCCAATCAGACTACATTTGTACAGTGGACTTCTCGATTGATTCATGGATACGGTTGCATTCTGATTGTTTTCAGTCTCGAAAATTGGATATACAGATAGCGTTATCACTCCGGTTGGATGCAGTGACTAATGAATCTCATCAACATGGTGAGGGACCGGCGGAACGCACAAGTCGCTTAATAAAGAGTTTCCGGCAAGTCCTTAGAAAATGATTGTACAAGTCCGGAACGATAGTTTCTCAGTGGACATTACACGAAACCATTTGAAATGAATCCGGGTTCGAAATAGGGCTAGAGGTCTAGACGTTTAAACATTTTCGGGAGCATCATCTCTAGAAGAACATGAAGCAGTGTAAATGGATAGCAATTTGAGGGAAACCGTTTAAACAAACTAAGTGCAACTATCCAGATTCGATTTTTCTCCTTAAATTAGTCATTCAAACCCAAATTAGAAATATCCTTACAATTTGAAGGGAGGATTCGAATGCTGCTGCTACCCGTAACCAGACGAAAGACAGATTCTGAAAGTAAGGAGCGTTACGAAATTCGATCAGTGTATCTTGTATGGTTGGTGACCGTCAATGAGTGGAGTGTTTCCCAAGGGAAAGTTGTTTGAAGAAATTTAAGCTTCGCGTTTTACATCCCCAATCCGACTATTTCCCACTATTCTTTTCGTTACCTTGTCACCACGCTTCTTCAC